AAATTGAAAATTCTATGAAAAGTTTTTGGATAACAGTTTGTACCGAATATTTTATTTGTACGTCGTTATCGTCGTGTTATCTAAATTTCACTCTGAATGTCATGCGCGTCACTTCAATTATTTTTATACAAGTAAGAACCAACTAAACATGACTTCGTACGACAGCAAACAACTCTTCAATTGCAAGAAAAATCTCGTAGAATCAACAACCATTTATCATTTACAAAGAAATATGTTCTTTGCCTTCGTAAAAATCAACAAACAATTGTTCCATTCTACACGTAAACGAACAAACGTCAGTGGCAATATTTCATAAATATTTAACCTCTAATTACTTCCATTATTTCGGTACGAAGCTTGGTCGATCGTGTTTAAGAAAATAAGCACCCAATTTATAAACAGATTTTGACAAACAACTCCAATTTTGGGCATCTTAAAACACTTAAAGACTGAAATTACTGGGGGCTTAGATACGGACGATTCTTAAGTCTAAGGCTTAAAAATCCGCTCCAAAAGTCAGCTTTAAACCATCAGGACGACGTTTACGATCGTTTTTACAATAAAAACAAAGTGCTTCCCAAAGATTTGCCATTCACTGACGACCGGCACAATGTTAAGAGTCGTAATTTTTTATTGTACGTTTAATTTTCGTGATAAAGCTTGTCAATTAGTCCGTTAGGCTCTTGACTCTGGCGCCCCGCCAAGTATTGTGGAACTATCCCTGAAGTAACTTACAACAGAGCTTACGAAGATTTTATGTCAGCAACATGCGTGCCATCTTAATAACTGCACGTTCGACGTTTTCCGCGAGTATATTTTTGTGCAAGTCAGGACAAGCCGAAACGGGAAGATTATTTCGAAATGAGACTGCTATTCTTAGATGTAAAGAAAAAAGCGCTTTAACTTACAAATTACACAAGTCATTAGCGAAAAAACTGAGTCCCTAAAACAACAATTTTTCAAACTACCAACTAGCTGAACTGCGGGAGCACTAAGTGTCTCAAGTGCAGTTTATTTGTCAAATGGAGCGCGACATTCCCCCATTGTCATCGAGAGGGAGCCGGGGGGAGTTGGGAGTTCCTCTATTCAGTTGCACCGACTTGATTAATACGCCTGAATGCGCGCGCTCGTTGCAAAAACGACCCAGTTTCTGGGCCCAGCGAAAAATTGTAGGTTATTAGACTGGGCAATGCCTATGCTTGCGAGAGGCCGAGATTGCGCGGTTTTAAAAACAAAATGGGAGTTGATGCTTTCATCATCCGTCTTTTAACGGAGCACAATACACACGGAGTGTGAATTTTAAATCCTCAGTAATTGTTTTCGCTGTCTAAACAGTCATTTGCATTTTTTTTGTATTCATATTTATTGAGTTTGCCATTTTGAATAGGGTTTTGATATATCGTTGTGGCTTATTGTTGATGTTTATTGGACAATGTTGATAATAAGCTGACTAGTATTTATTAGGCGACCTTGAAAAAAAAATGTGTGTAAATTATAATGTAAATGATAATTACGATGTAAATGATAATATTTCAAACATTACATCATACATATAAATGATCGAAGTATGTAATGTAAGTACATTAAGTCGGGTACTAAAAAAACCTCAAACATATAAAAGGAATTTAGTAGAAAGCTACAGTAAATTGCTGGAGTTACGCGTGAAAACGTGGAATTTTAAAACTAGCAGTGTCCGTTGGCTCACGTCCAGGCTGTTGGCCAAACTAAGCCTTTCTCTAAAACCGTCGGTTTTGTCAAAGTGGATTTACAACACTAGATCAAGACTACACGCGCCCGATCTAGGTCATGCTAGAGCTGTGAATGACAGGCGATTTCAGCGGACTAAGCAAGAATGTTTCTCTTAGAACAATATTTTTGAAATCCTTCCCGATTTTGTAATAACACGTTTAGCTGCTCCGTCTGTGTGCATGCCAAGTTTGTCTTAAATATTACACAAGGAAACTAGCTGTTTGTGCGGCGATCAAAGTTATAGCTTTAAGATTATTCTAAGGATGTATTTTGTGTGGCTGTAAGCCAAGTTTTGATTCGAAATGTTGCTTGAATTTGTTATTATAGAGAGGGTTATTAAGTATTACGTTCGTATACACCGAGAGGTTTACTTCAGAACATTTTTTGTTATCTTTATTACACATTAATATCATAATCGATTTATAAATAAGTGCAGCGATATCATCTGCGGTGTATTACGATAGTGCATTAATCTCTACGGCACATAAGTACGTAATGTACTCTCAAGCGCCAAGATATGAGCACTTCACCGCCATGTTGAAATTTCATCCCACATTTCTTTTAATGGATGGCGAGAAATGCTGAAACATTTTTAATCTCACAAAGGTATAGTGATAATTACGTTTCAAACAGTATTTTTTTGAGTCGTCACAAAGGAATGGGTGGGTCATGAGATATTATTGCGTAATACGTATTTATTCTTTTGCCTTTGAACTTTATATAGTTTTAAAAGAAGGATATTTAGGAACTATGTAGTTCGTATATTTGAGTAATTGTTGTAAGTAATTACTTTGTCATATATAACTATAAACCCATGAGCGTTAGACAAAAATGACAAATAGAAAAAGAAGATTAAGGGTCGGTTTCACATCGTCTGTATTGCTGCTATGTACCAGATAAATTTTAATGAAGAACGTAATTTGTATAAACTGTCTGCCACATAATTTTATCAGAAACTTATATGGAAATGGTGAAACAGGCGCTAAATGAAGTAATTACATAACATAACATAACATCATGCCTTTTAATCCCCGAAGGGGTAGGCAGAGGTGCACATTACGGTACTTAATGCCACTGTACAATGTAACATCCACTTTTCACTATTTATGTTATGAGTCCCATGTAATAGGGAGCGAGCCTTGCCATATACCGGGCACAATTCCAGACTCCGTGCTACTACTGAGATTTTTTTAAAAACCCAATAATACTTTGCCCGACCCGGGAATCGAACCCGAGACGCCTTGCCGCACTTGCGAGCACTCGGCCAACGAGGCAGTGAAATAATTACAATCACTACTATTTACAGAACTATGAGTAATGACTAGCTTTTCATAAAATAAATAAAGTTATAAAAGGCATAAAAACAAGTAAATTGCAATTCCATTCCCTTTGACGTATTTCTAGCTAAGTTTTTGAGGACTTGGGTGAGGTTTAATTAAAGTTGAAGGTAGAAAGAAGGTGGTAGCGTGTAGCTGGTTAAGAGGATCCCAAAGTTGGTCTTAAACTTCGAGAACCTCGAGAGTTTCCGAATTTTATTCAAGTAATTGTGTCTTACAGAAATTTTCATATTCGTACGGAACGATGATTATACTAATTTGGAAATGGTGGGTGGAATTTTTTATTCGTATCATGGTTATTTGGTTCGGTTGATGGCTATTAGTCATTGCTTTTTTTAGTGGGATTTTAAGTTTAGAACTCTTTAATCTTAGTAAAGGAGTACTTTCAAGCATAAAACTAATAACTTTAATCTTAAACTTTGAAACTAAGTGTGGTATAGGCACAGTATCTTTATATCCCGAGCGTACGGCGCGTCGCGTTCCGCGCGCCTCATAGAGCCACCAGACCACCACAGATGGGGCCCAACAGGGCCAATGCCGATTCGGAGTCGCGGAGAACCTAACGGGTTACCGGGGCTCGACGTGCTGGAGAAGGAACGGGGTGGTTTTTAGTCAGTAAGAGTCTGACACTCCCTCCCGCCCCACCCAGGCGGGAGCAGTCATTCGATGATTCCCCCCCCCCCTCCCTAAAAAAAGTATCCCTATATACCTAGATCGCATACTTATGCGGTTAACTTGTAACTAAGACCCTTTATAAAATGTGTCGCTATTGAGAATACACCTAAAAGATTTTATGAGGTAACTGACACGGCTCTAACACGCAAAACCTTTTTAAATGGATACACGTTGTAACAATGTTACCCAAAGGTTTCCCATTTTTGTAACACATTATTTTGGTACCTTTATTTATTAAATATAGGTATGGAAGGTGTATTCTCTAAGGATCAGTGTAGAGGTTTACACCTACGTTGTGACAAATTAAACGGTTAGTGAAATTGAGATCATATTTATCTAACCTTCCCAATAATGCTAACTAGGATAAACCAACAAACTACTAAATTCCATATTTAGGACGATAGAATATTCCACAAAAACATAATTAACAACACAAACGTAGCTTCGTACCTATTGACGTAAGATGGCCTTTTATTTCATTTCTAGAAACTTAACTAAAGATCATCGCAAGCCAAAATCTAAAATAACAGCAAGCAAGTATAATTTTAAACTTTATTGCAATTACAATACGATATAAATTAAGATTTTGGAGGAGGCCACGTCCATTGACCTGGCGGAGGCTTTTCTATCAAAGGTTCCCATGGTTTCCAGTTCAGCATTTGCCGAGCCAACTTTAGTTCGTTGTCAGCCTGAACAATCAGCTCTTCGGCTTGTCCACCATTGATCTTGCATTCGATGTCCGTGAAATCCTTGCTTTCTTTAACGAGTTTATTTCGGTCACAAACAATAATTTCAGTATACTTTCGATAGGTTGCATCCTTCGGCATTTTACTGAGGATACGGAGTATTTTGCCGTAAAGGGAACTCAACGTGTGACCGGGGTTCGGATGGACGGCCAATCCAACAACACCTGTCGTAGTTTTGACTACAACCATGATTTTAAAACTTGACTACAATCCGTTTTTAAATCCCTTCGCTTTATTGATATTGACACAATTATAAAACACAACTAACACGTTAAAATCGATTCGTAAAAGAGAAAAACACGTATGACAGTGACATTATTTTTATATTTTTGTTACTGACCTTTGCTAAAACCTTGAAGGTTTTATTTAATTTATCAAGCCAGTGATTGTCATAAAACTTTAGTTTTGTATCAAAATTGTGCTGTATTTTGAAATAGCATGACCTTTAAAAATAATAAAAGTGTTTTTGAGTCAATTGTCTGAGTTAACTCACCCGTATCCAGGCTTTTGGCAGAACCAGGACCTGGTAAGCTTTGCAGCTTCGAGCAAAACGCCCCCAAGGTCACCGATCCTCATGCCAGTGCAGGAGCAGCAGCCATCACCATCCCCATCACCCACTAGCACAACTCTCGACTCTGACTTCGCCACTTTGGACATCAAACACACATCACCCCCCAAAAACCAATTTTAACACTATTTTTATTTATATCACTTCCATCAGTTGTCCATACAAGTTCAAAAATAATTTTGTTTAAGCTTTTTATTCACAGATTTGTTCACTGCAGGTTAACATTCAAGAATGAATCTATAAAAAAATGAAATAAAAAGATAATTAACGCCATCGACACGCGGAGGTCATAACTTGATATTGCTAGCAATAAACGCGATTGTATTCGTAATAAGCCTCGATACAAATGATCAAATAAACTGACAACCATTTGCGGTTACAACCTGATGATGTAATGAATCACCATTTTTGGTTTGAAGAGCTGTTCAGATTTCTGTCACGCAGGAAGACTCCAAACAATGAAATATATTATACAAGATATATATGAATATATTAGACAAGCGAAAACAAGCGACTTCTTTGGAAATAATGAATTTAATACAAAAGAAAACTTGAACCTAAAAATAAATGCAAAAGCAAGTATCATTGGAGGAGTTGAAACGAAAAATATTAGCATTCTTGTTGAAGTAAATCGACTTATTCATGATGATGTATTAGACGGGTACAATATCAAAGAACATGAACAATGAGACAGCAACGCATCAAGTTTACATTATCGAATATAAATAATACAAAAAGATGACGTACGTATACGTCTTTAACATTACCATACAGTAAATATGACTGGCATGAAATACTGACCAACATTACAATAATGACTAGCAGAGCTATCAAAAGATGTTTTCACTATTCGAGAATTTGTGATGTATGCAAAGTTTGTATCGATTCTTATGTTATCTGCTCTCTCTCCTTTATACGTTTAGAAATAACCCTAACTCTATTAAGTGGAATCGTATTAACAATAAAAAGCCTATGCTTTCTACGAAATGATTTTCGAATAACTATCACCAGTTCGATGGATTCAAAAATTATAATTGAAATATCCGATTTAGAAGAAAAACAACTCATCAATTTAGGGACATATAATGCGAATTCTAAGGAAGAAATTATACAGAAAAAAGGTAAAAGAACAGAATAATGTAAATTAGAGTACCGTTGGACCTTTGCGTCTCTGAGGTTTTTTGAGGAGCCTTAAAGAGCTTCCAAAATGTATCCGAAACAGGTAGCGTGCAAAATAAAGTTACCGGTATCCATTGTTTTGATTATACTGAAGCCCGCGCATTAATTGGTTTAGTTAGGATTTTTGTTGTTTCACATATTTTTGTTTTTATTATTAAATTTTACATTTGAAATTTTGAGAATATGTAAAATATCTGTTCCATCATGGAATACATTTAAAGAACCAATAGCATTTCTTGAATTTAAGTCATCATTTACTTAAGTATAATGGCTATGTCTAGTTTCTACCTCATTGATAACTGTACAAGCAAGACTGCTGATATAGTGGTAGTTCGATTCCCGAATGAGTATAAATACATTAGATAAAAATAGTATAATCAAATACAGTTGACAGATCAGGTTTACGGAATACAGAAGATTACGCACGTTGGAATTTATGGTGTGTGACTAATGAGCACAATTCATTGTATTAAAAACGGTTTTAAAAAATGAATTACAACAGTTTTAACAGATCTTGACGCAAAAGATTTTTTCATTTACCTATGTAGGTAGAAATCTTTCTCTTCGGAACTCATGATTCAATTTTCTTACATTTTGGGAGGTTTAATGATCGAAAAAAGTTATTATTACTAATGTCATAGATGTTTACCGCTGGCCAACTTTAATTGATTAAAGAAATTCTAAGGAATTAGGTCAGAAAATAACTGTAATTCTTCTTATAACAAATAATATCATAACAGAAGAAAACTTCCAAATCATTTACCTAGAAATAAGGCCAAGAGAGTAATTCAGCCAACATTTCGTTGTCTACACAAACATTTGTATACAATAACAAGAAGAGATGAGGTCAATGACCGTCTAAGAGAGCAAGGCAGTTGAGCCCCATACTGGGAACATAATATATTACATCATAGAAGACAAACAAACACTAGAATTCCTTCTTACTAAAGAAAATCCTATAAAATGAGACAGTCCCGACTAATATTACAAATACGACAGTAAGTTTGTGTGTTTGTTACTTCTTCAAGCTTAATCTACTCAGCCAATCATGTTGTAATTTTACATACATATAGTTAGACGTATGGAGAAGGATATAGGTAAGAGACAGTCCCGACTAATATTACAAATACGACAGTAAGTTTGTGTGTTTGTTACTTCTTCAAGCTTAATCTACTCAGCCAATCTTGTTGTAATTTTGCATACATATAGTTAGAAGTATGGAGAAGGATATAGGTAAGGCAAAGTCATGGATAAAGGCTAGTTTCAGAACAAATACTACCTCTTATGATACCAGTTGTAGGAAATAATAATATATCATGTTCTAAGGCGTCTAGTAGTTGGATCGTATCCAACAAAGTGTTTTTTCTAACATTTCATGTAATATTAATGTAATGTATGATTAGGTTTTTTTCTTATTTATGTAATGATGTTTTTATATATCTAAGTTGGTATGATCATAAATGTATGTCTATCTGGAATTTTATTATTTATTCACCATACTAGATTCTTCCAGAACAAAGGAACAGATTTAAACGTACGGGTATTATCGATTCTAGAGAGACAATAAAATAAAATTCTGATGACAAGGATTTGATCCGTATATCAGTAATAGCTTAAACTGTCAAACACCAAGCGGTCACCGGTGACCGCAACCTATTGTTCTTTAATTGTGTCTATAAATACTCGACGAGTTAATTTGGTTAAAGACCCGACACCTTAAAATTACAAGGTCAGGACAAAAAATGCTCTAATCATTAATTTTGAACAGAAGTTATATGCATAAAACTATCAGTTTAGAATTAAATCCATAATCATAATAATTCAATCAAATCTTTCTTAAGTAACATCGAGAATACCATCTTATTTAAAACGGTTCCTAAGTCCTACAAGTAAATACGTACTTTACAAACGTATACCCGAATAAAAACACATCTATTTTGTGTTTTTATAGTTTGTTGTGAGTACCGAGGCGTGAATCGGAGTAATCACAATAGGTCGTGTCTCGTTGGTAAAATTTAAAAGCGAAACTGTATTTTGTTTATGTCGTTCACTTTTCCTCCAAAACAAAGGTCTTTGGTGTCATTTTGTGCACTCTTACTCAAATGTGTTGTAATATATTATCCTACAATCTTCTTGTTTAGAACTCTTATTTGCTTATTTAGTAAGTTTAGCTCTCCATAAATCTATATTTAAACGTCTTTACGAAGATAAATGTTTCAAATTGGGTTTGGTCTTATTTATGTTATCGAAATTCAAATAGCCGATTTGTGTGAGCTGATCCTATGATCTAAAAATTACATTAATTTTAAATGGAAATGCGTTTGATTCTAAACATCATAATTTTCTTGATTTAGATTTTAGTTTTAAGTGGATTTAAAGGACCCAGTACCGAACCAGTACAGATAGTGACCACCAGGTGGTTTTGATGAGGTAAGTATATTACTCTATTCTTTCTCGCCATAAACCAACTTTCTGAGGGTTTCCTTATCATCAATTACGGATTAACACCTTTATAGACACCATAACGCATCAATTAACCCAAAACCACGATTAATCAGAGAAATCCAATCTTTTCAATCCAGGGTACTGTCTAACCAGATTACCAAAAACAGTGTTCCTGTCTTTGGTAATCCAAAAGGCAATATTTTACGTCTCGGAATGTACTCGGGTAAGTTTTACCGCCTCGCTAAATGGGTAAAACGATTCAGACAAATGGCCTTCTATTGGATACGGCTTAGTATTCCTTGTGTCTCTCACTGGAATGTTCTGGAAATCAGATATCGGTGAAATAAAGAAACAAGTGATTTAGAAGAATTATGATGATGCACAGATAAATAATCTTTTGCAAGACTTTAGAAACATAAAGTCCTCATCAAAATCTCAACCGCAGATTGTACAAATTCTCTCGTTACAAACCGTGAAAAGTTATCTTTAAACCGAATCCAAAAATTACTTATTTCTAACAAAACCAGACCTCAAATTGAGGACAACTAAAATTCGTCACACACTGTAATTACAATTACCCAAATCGGGCACCAACTACACTGCAACGTAACATTGATCGTTTATTTCAACCGTGATAGACCAAATGTCTAACAATACAATTTGAACTCTGTTACAAAATTGTAAGTTGTAATTTTGTTTAGCATACAAACGGATCTAGTTGTGATTGGAATTGTTTAACCTCAATGTTCCTGAGATATTTTGCTCAAAGTAATACTATCTGATATGTCGAGTGTCGACACGACTCGTATTCTGAACTTTATAGGTGCTAGAAATCCTATTACCGGGTAGATTTACATGCATATTACTAGGACTAGGTTTTCGAAAAGGCTGTAAAATGTTTTGTTCTATATTGGACAGGTGTCGTAACTATAGTATTTCTTTTTAATGAGATGAAATCGAAGGCTACATTATGAGCCCCATGACGTAATAATACCATGGCTTATTATCAAACCTACTATTGCACTGAATACGAATTAAAAATGAGAATTTTTAGGAAAATCGAACAAAGCTAAATGCTTTGCTCCAGCTTGGAATGTGAGACCTCTTGTTTAGCACTTGCGGCCACTAACGCGACAGACCAGTATGTTACCTACTATTTATAGTTTATACCCATATATCTCGAACATTTCCTGTACCCAAGATATACGGAAAAAGTATACCGCACAAGAATGTAGTATACAGCTTTCTCAAAGAAAGTTAAAATGTTAAGAGAAATACTATTTCATTCAAAAACTTTTAATTGACTTCGCAAACCATTAATATCTGAATAAATGAATAAAGTTAGCGTTAATAAAAGTGCAATATATTGCGCTGTAGATAAAACTTTACGAAGGAAGTAAGTAGTTACAAAGAATGTGAAATAAAATGACCAGTTTTTTGTAGAGAAATGGACTCCGAACTAGGG